TATTAGTAAAGTCCGCGGTGCAAAGCCCCTCGCACACCTTCGACTTACATGCGGAAGAAGTTACTCCCAGCGGCCGCGGGAAACAACTTCGACTACATTTTTTACTTTACACTTCTACAAATTTTCTTCGCTGCCTAGCTTATTTCCCCAGCCCCTGAAACCCTATAACCACCGTTTTCGTAGGTCAACATGCTGGGACTAGGGGTATATGAGGGAGGCCACATAAGCTACCTTTTCCCAAGCTGTTTCGGTACTTGATCAGCCTTCTACTATACTCATAATTTATGGTGAATTTTATCCGACATCATAATTCGGAGGATGATTTCATATAGCTTTTTCAGCATGGATCTGGAACGTTAACATCCCTTGCAACGTGTAACCATAAACCGTACAGAATTAGTAGACTAGGTTTTTGTAGCCTTCTGAAACTGTTCCCTTACAATAAACTAAGCCATTCTGATGTTGGCACACATTTCCCTTTAGGGCATGGTGGTGGCAGTCTAAATGAGGTCTATGTGCCCATATTCATGTGGGGTAGCGGAATTGTTGGAGAACAATTTCATCCCGTTTTGAGAAAGCCGGACTCCAAATCCGGATACCCCATACTCCTTAATCAAATAGATATTTGTCCCCTACTCGCAAGCCTCTTGGGCATCAAAATGCCGTCAAATTCCATGGTAGGTCAACTTTTTTCATAGACAATCAACTACCTTTATAGGGAAGCCTATCTGTTGACTTATTGGACGTTAACCCTGCCAGAAAACTTCAGCTGCTGTTATCTAATAACAGACATTTGTGGCGGCTTTTGCAGGTAAGTAGTCAAAGACCTCCTATCCTAACCTTTATCCTCCAGGCAACAATTGAGCGAATAAAATCAACTTCCTTCTTTCCGTTCCTGGTAAGTGGCGGCGAAGAACCACGGGTGGTGCAAGATCTTTTAGAGGAAACAAATCAACTTGTAAGGACGCTGTCGAAATTACGTAATATGAATTCTTTTCCAAGATCCATGAGCATAGGCAAACACAAGATCGTTTGATCATTCAACTGAACTCCTATCGATGGTTTACTTGGTGGACATTTAGGTATGACACTCTTTATTGCATGAGTATTCAATTACTTTCATATCGTGATTGTAAATTTCTAACTTCATAAAACATTCGGCGGGAACCCGCTACCATAGTGAGACTTTCCGGAGAATGCTTTGTCTAAACGATCCATTTACACTGACTGTATGTGCAAAAACTTTAAAAAGTATGCGAAATTAGTTGTTTGGAGGTATGCGTCGGCCATTTGTTTGCGCACAAGTTTTTTTTAAGTCAGCTAAACTTAACCATTTCGTATTCAAACTGACAATTTATGTGATTTCTCGTTTCAGCCCACTATGGATTTCAGTAATTGTAATGATATCTCTGAATCTCATTTCTGCTGCTCTAATGAGCGAACCGTCACTCGAAGGATTTCGCCGTGTCTGTGCAAAATATATCCTCGTTTTGATATTGCTGGTCGAATGTCTTAGAGGTAATAACTATCCCCCTCTCACTTTGATTTCCTGTATTTTTCTCATTACTTAACCATTCCTGTTACGATGATCAGCCTCCTTCGCGTCCATTCACAAGGTAGACATTCTTTTGCGTACCCTACAGCATATTAGGCGGAGGACGGTGTTTTGCGCGTGAATTAGTTTATACTTGGTAAACCTTCCAAATATATATATCGCTTGTCATCCCCCCTCGGTCTCATCGCATTGGCAGGCCAAAGTCTGGACCACCGGGTGAGGAGTCGGACGTAATGACTTAGTAGAGTAAACGGCTCGTCCGCGTTGGCTGCACACGACCTGTTCCACGCCGACATGCATCGTCTTTTGAAATAGCCGTCACGACCTAATCTCTCATATGGATGTGGTTTTTACAAAAGAAGAGGGAAGTTGGGATTTCATGTGTGGGTCTGTCATGAAAGCAACATTAAGGGGCTATTAAGCCTGATTCTCTGTCCTCGATTCAGTCGCCGCACATAAAAGCACAGTGCTGGTCACGAGGACCAGATTATTCTGCTGGTTGGTAACCTTCCAATCCACAGCCTCAAGCCAGTTGTGCTACGTTAAAAGCGCATCAAGTCATTATGGTGAGTAATATGCGTCAAAAGCCGTACGGCCGGAGTACCCAGAGTCAACCTCACTATCCCACCTTTAAGGCGCCAGTCACCTGGCGGAGGCGGTCGGCTATCTGGCGTGATGGTCAGGTGCAACTGGTTATAAATGCAGGGCAAGCCTACTCTCCCTAAAATCCAATTCACGCATCAGTCACCATCCCTGTGCCACCTTGCGGTGAAGCACATGGTGGCTCTTTTCAGATATGACGGTAGAATTGGTGTGTTATCAGGGGGTCTGATGACGCGTACACGCTCATCACTTCTTCCAACAGAAAAAAAAGCTATTAGGGCCTGTGAGAGGTAGGAGCCTATGAGTAATACTAAGCCAACATTTCTCATGATAATCAAGTCCGTTTTCCTCCATAATGCACCTCATTTGTTTGGACCTAGAAAGATGCCAGTTGGATGGATGACTCGATGCTGCGTTGAAGGAAAGCACATACTGCAGTGCATCCTTACCACTGTTAAATCCGGGCCCCCTCCGAATGAGGCCTAATACAAATGCGGTTAGGGACCAAGTCGTAAGTATGTCACACGTAGACGAACAATGAAACACTCTGTCAACATAGGACTCCAGTATTCTTTGTTATGTCATTAAGACGTGTTTACTTTAAGAATAATGGTGAGGTAGCTGGAACTTAAGTCTACTTCACCATGAAGGAATATACATGCAGCTCATTGCTGAGCACATGTCCTGGGGATATGGTCGACGGTCTCACTAACGACACGATGTACGCGGACAATGCAGTTTTTCTCCGGATCTGAATAACCTTATGTTCTTGCGTGCCGGAAATTTCGCTGACACACAGGTCTTTTCTTAGCCCTTCGTCAATTATTTTGCTTAACTTTATACCGGGCGTTTTTTCTCCATTATCAAAATCAGTAACATCGGCGGCTGCAAGGGAATTGACACTTGTGGCGCTTCTCTGTCTTCTGGCATACGCGTTCCTTAATGGCACAGCAAGTACTTTGCGAAAAACATCTCAAAATTACCTTCCACACAGCAAAACCGTGATGGACTCTCCATTAACTCCAGCACTGTTTTTCCGATTTGCAATAATATTCCTCAGTATCATCTTCATGGTAAGAAGAAGCATTTGCTAATGTCTCTTCACATTGAAGTATTGGCTTTTGTGATAATCTGGCTTCCTGACTATCCGATTAAGCAGTATACGTATTGTTACGGCTGCATGGTCAGTTATCCAATGCAATTTGAACTGAAAGTAGTTGAATGGACTAAGCCGGCTATCCAGCTGAAAGAAACCATCATTCGTTTTGTTAGCTTTGGGTTCGTTGCACCAGCATCCGCATCATCATCAGCAATTTGTTACCAACCGTGGTTTGTTCTTAGCTATATATTCAGGCAATAACAAAAGACCCCGCTATGGAGTCAGCGTCTCGAAGTCAAATTTGTTACAGTTTAATTTATCCTGACTGGCATTTGCCGCCGCCCTTTCCTAAACGTTGCCTGAAAAGCCACTCCCCGCAGCAAGTTATCTGCAGTGAGACATCATATTTAGAAATATAGTCGTTTATCAAGAATACTCGGTAGAAATTTGTAGTTCAGATGGTTAGAGCGTTGGCTGTATTAAAAGCTTTCTTTTGCTGACGTGGGTTCGAATTCCAACGGGATGTCTGATTTTATCCTAATTGGATCAGATAAATTATTAAAAACGGTCCAATCCAATATTAATGAGGTAGTTATCTGGCAGTTATCTGGTTGATTGTACAGTGATTGCCTAGGGAAAAACTGTTTGGGCAATCAGCTTACTGTATCAGAATTGGCGGATTCCATAGATTGCAGTAGGCTAGACGGGTATTTTTACCCATGTGATAAAACTCACGGTTCTTATCTCGGGTGGTTATAGTTTTGGCAGACGAAAATTGTCGGCAAAGACAAGAGAGACTGGAGTGAATAGTTCTGGCTCACTAGCCATACCCAATCCCAGATGGTGCACCCTCCGCAGCCCGAACCCGTAACCTGTTGAGCTGAAGCCCAACGTGCTTACCCTTCAGCCACGGCTGCATGTCTTGGGTTTGAATCCTGCCCACAAGGGAAATATTTCCACAAATTTGTCTAGCGAATTATTCACAAAAAGCATATTATTCTACCCTTTTTTTAAACAATAAATGTCAATGTAAGGAATTCTCTTGCTACAAGCCGCTTTTGAGTGGTAACCAGCGCACTACCGCTGACGCATGAATTTGGGTTTACGTGTGTTAATACTTAGTATTTTACTCTCCCTTGTGTAAGTGTTTCAATTAAATGTAAACCTCCAATTATTTAACCGGTAGTTCCCGAATGTTATGTCGGACTGAGGTCGAATGTCTACCTGAATTATGCCGCTCACAGTCGGTAAATGTAACACCAAACATGTTGAGGTGGTAAGTTTACGTTTGAGTCTGTTTTTCGCTTTCATTAGCTACAGAATTCTTGAGCACGCTTTTATTTGTCAGCTTCTTTGGCCTGTTTCTGTTTGACGTCAGCGTGGTTTAATTTGACATTTAATCTACAGTTTTTATTTCTTTCAGCTTGCCGGGTTCTATGTCAAGCCTTTATTCTGCTTGTCAGTCCTCAGTGCTTTGGCTGCACAAACTAGCTTGACAAAACTTAATCGCACGTTACTTGTAAGTATTATTGCTCGAATAATCTCCCAATAAGTATGATTGGTGATTTTTAATTCCCAAAACTATATGCTGGGGCATTAAGTCCATGCATAGTATTCTTTCTCACTACATTATCATCTGCAAGTGAGAATACTGTTCGTGCACAGGAACAGTTTTTTTATTATTCTGGACTTTAACTCTTGCGAGACAAATCCTCACTGACAGTAGTAGAATTTAAAAAAAACAGCAGGAAAAAGTCAACAATTAGAGGGGTGCAAACTAATCACGTATCAGTGACGTAAGTCTGGAGATGGGTGCGCAGGGCTCTGTTCGCCGACGCCAAATCAATAATCGACTGATTGCGTTACCATCCATCGGCCAGGCTTCAGTCAGTTCTCGTTTGTCTTGTCTCTGGCAGGTGCGATTATTTTGGCAGCTGGGAAGTTTGACTTATGGTCTATCTCATAGGTGTGAATACCAGCTTGCGTTACTTCACGCCCGGGGAACCACAGCAGACGCGTCTTCGAACCGCGTTCCCACCCGCCCTC